TGACTGTAAAGGAATGGGGTGGGATAATTAGTGTATTGTTTATTACAGCACTGGCAAAGAGATGTTCGGTTACACCTTGTTTAAAACGATTATTTCAACCCTGCTTAACTAGTTACAATCCACAAGTAACATATACTACCCACCCCTGCTACACCCTAACCCTCAGCTACGTATAGGCATATACATGGCACGTTTTTTAATTATTGATCATTTAGACAAGGAGAACCAGGTATAAAAAAATCCAATGTGCATTTCTCTTTTCATCTGCAACCACGTCATATGCATATTCTAAATATTTGTTGATAGAGGATGTATACTATTATCACATAACCAAATATTTTATCTGATAAAAAATCAATTTTGTGTAGTGTAGTGACCCTGAAGTGAATTCAGATGCCACGGATATAATGCCTTTTCTCAATATAACTCAATGACGTGATTTGCAACCTTATGATGCATTATTACGTTATATGATTTGGACAAGGTATGCTTTCATTGTATAATATGGACAAGGGATTATTACGTTATATGATATTTACAAAGTATTATTACATAAATAGATATCGACAAGGCATTATTACATAATTCGATACTGACAAAGAATTATTTTATTATGATATTAACAGTGGATTATTAAAATGTATAATATTGACAAGGTATTATATGTCTTTATTTTCTTAAAACCTAAACAAAACACCAAGAACATGGTAGACAGTTATTCAAAATGTCTTGAACTTAAGGACATATTAGATATAGCTGGGTCGTATAAAACTGACTTTCGTTTTTATTTAAAGAGAAATAATTATGAGAAGGATAGGCTATAACTTTATATCATTGACATAAAGAGAGGGAGCTGGCATGGAGACAAAGAATCTCTCTTTAGTCACCAGGAAGAAGACCACTTAAGTGCTAGCAGAGAAAATCCTTGACGTGGCTTGCTGACGACATCTAGCATCTCATTAGAGATTGGGAAACGTTTAAACAATGCTAGACTCATTCTTGTAATAGCTCTTTTTATTTAAAAAATACATTCTGTCAAAAATATCCATTATTCTCTAGACAGAATATATTAAATCGTCGTACCTTTATTCGTGAACAAATGCAAAAATACGTACAACAAACAGATGAATCCGTCAAACCAGTATTGAGTTCTTTGCATTTATAACTAACATGTATATATGCATTAGATTAAACGGCACGTCACCATACTGGCTATATAGTGCCTATTAAAATCTTAGTTCTAAAAATGTAAAGATTCAAAATGCAGTAATTTGTCAAAAAGTTTGGTACCAGTGTCTCTCTATTGGCAATATTATCCATAAGAAAATATCCAAGCTGATCGTTTGAAAATACCTATCTTTTAATTTAGTACATGTGTCGAGAGCCCATCAACAGCCGTCAAGGATCTTACGACAGCAAGAAGCATTAGTTGACAATTTCTTCGATTTTACTATTAAATATTCAATAAGAAACTGAGGATTAATTTTGCCATGGAAACAATATTGTTTTATTTGATTCAAACTATAGTGTATGTTCCCCTTTAAAATGATTATTGCTTGCCTTTTCCAGGTGTTCATTTTCTTTTATATTTTTCAGTCTGTTGTACAATGATGGTTTGGTCTGTTGGTACACCTCTAACAATCATTCACTGAAGAGATTACAAAGTACATCAAGCTGACTCTTCCAAGAGTCACAACTTGGACGAAATTGTAAGTCCGATACTCTTTCGACAGTCACAACATGGACGAAACTGTCAAGTCCTATACTCTGTTAATAGTCACAACTTGGACGAAATTGTAAGTCTTATACTCTGCCAACAGTCACGATTTGGATGTAATTGTATGTTTGATATTATATAAAAAAGAAGAATAAATGGTGAAAGTTCCTCCCTTACGCTCACCGTAAATAAAAAAGTCACTACCACATGTGACACACGGATAGCCCTGTCTCAATCCATCTTGATGTTTACAAATATGCCATAATTTTCTCTATATATCTTGGGGGAAACTGGTACTCCTTAGAGTCTGAGAAGGACGGGCTCTGTGCAATCATCTGTGGGGACAGAGATGGCTTTGCAGTCCTAGTCCTTACTTGACACAATCGATGACAGATGGAGCATTGAAATACGTTGTAGAGTTACTGGGACGGATGCATCCACCTGGCTCAATCGTTCATTTGTAAGGGCAATTGAAGCTTTGAGGGCACGACAGCCGGTTAGGTCATGTACTTTTCTCTCTGGCTCTGATGGTTTGAGACCGCACTACTTTAGGCTGTCTTTCAGGGTGTATTTGTAGCGGATGCGTGGTCGGCCAAGGGTTTCCTCTGCCATCTGCCAGTTTCCCAAAGAAGGCAAGTTTCAGCAAGCGAGTGCCATATATTATTATAATATTTCCTGAATATTCTGTTGCGAAGCCTTCCGAGTGACTTACTTGTTTTACTGATCCTAGTGGAGGTCTCATTATCACGCGAACCACCGTTGGAGATGCCATTGATTATGCATTTGAAAATGTCCATAAATTTTTCAGTTGAGTGACGTCTATGCTGACTGGCTGTGGTGTACAGGTGTTTGAGGCCGGCTGGAAAAGAACTTCAGTCTAGACAAGGTTAACTGCGAGGCCGAATAGCTTGGAGGCATCGGAAAATTTGTTGAGAATTATCTCTAGATTATTTACCATGAGAGCACAGTCATTAGGAAAGAGGGCTTTCCGGATGAGAACTTCCAGTGTCTTCGGTTTTGCAGTTTGTCGAAGAGTGAACCGTCAAGCCGGTATCTGATATACACTCACTCTTGGAGATCCTGGAAGACAAGGTTAAGGACGCATGTAAAACAGAGGTGGAAGAAGACATGTGCTACAACTAAGCCCTATTTTACACCATTCTAGATCCCGAAGAGATCTGATGGGTTGACATTAGACAGGACCTGTCCTTTCATGCCAAGATTCGGATGAACTGGACGAATGTACACCGGCTAAGATACCTTGCTAATACAGACCAAATGACCTCTCTTTTGATTGCCTCGAAGACCTTGGTGAGATCTTTGAAGACGGAGTATAGGTCCAGGTTATGTTCAATGCATTTCTTCTTGACCAAGCTCACAGCGAAAATCATATGAACCTCACTGCGTCCTTGACGGAAAACTACACTGGGACTCATGACTTTAGATGACTTGGAAAAAGATATTGCTAGCGTTTGAGAGGATGGCGCAGTCGTTTCCGCAAAAAAAATACATTTGCTCTTAAAGAGGGAAATGATCAAGATATTGCGTAAATTTTCTGGAATTATTTTCTTGTTCATATATGCTCTGGTGTATATCACGTCAAGATTCGATTGTACCTGGTTTTGTTGCTTCGTAAGCTTCCAATGGGCTTCCATATCTTTCCAGAGCCTTAACCGAGTTCATCTGAATGGTGTCCTTCTTGATTTGGTCAGGCGAAGATGGTAGATCGGGTTACTCCTTGACGGACTTTTGGTGGATCTGTTTGAGATATGTGGGAATGGCATGTTCAATAGCCACTGAAATGCTCAACCCAGCTACTTAGTTGTCGTTCCTGGTCTTTGATCAGCTTTGATAATCTGTTGAGAGCAAAGGGGTGGATCCTGTTCTTGAAGGAACGTAAACAGTTTTTCACCGAACTGAAGAATTAAGAGATGTGACTATTGGCGTAGTGCTGTAATTTCTCGGCCTTCTTATCCAAACATTTTCTTTCATATCGCGCAGTTTTATCTGGGCGTATCCATTTAAGTGTTTGAACTAGTCTGTTTTAGAAGTGGAACTTGTATCGTTTTTCCATTTCACATATGCTTTGCCCTGACCAGAGCCGAGTTGATATTCTCGTTTTTACTTATCAAAACAGTCATGATGCACGTGTGTGTTCGGTCCCAGAAGACCGAAAAGCACGCGTGTGTTCGGTCCCAGAAAAACCGTTGCTATTTCTGTGATGACGTCATTAAACTGGCACCACTTCTCAGAGCTGACACAAGCAAAAAGTGATTTGGCATTGAGGTTTTCGTCGAGTGCTCGTTGAATCGGTTTTAATGGTATGCATGTTTCAGTCTCGCTTTGATAAACGGTTTCGGTCTTTTGACGTTTTGCGCTGAGTGCGAATAGTGCTTAAGTGAATAATTGATCTGTGGTCCAGTACCTCGTATACTGGGCGTGATTCTAACTTTCTGCAGGTCCATCTTTCTGATAATGATGCAATATGTCTTTTAGTCTTTGTTTATAAAGCAATAATGAGGGAAGATGAATTAGGACATTACCCCACTTATCTAAATCCCGAGATCAACTATACATATGTCAGATGAAAAAAAAACAAAACACCCAGGATACGCACATTTTATTTACATAAAGTGGATAACGGCACAACTCTCTACACACAAACACACTGCTGCTGGACAGTTTAACATTTAGTAATTAATTACTGTATTTTCTAAGTACCCGTTCTATATTGTCTGCAAACAAATTCCCACATTCCACAGCTGAAAGATAAAATTGTAGATACAAAAGAATAAAAAAAATCACACATTGGTAAAGAGTTAAATATTGCATTATACATATAATACAATATCTCTAAAATAAAGGGTCTTATATTGATCAGCTAAGAGGCAAATTTCGCATAGTGTTTAGGATACATTATCTCAAGGGCAAAGGTACGTAGTGTGTTCAGCTAAATTTGTCAGTGTATGATTTCTCATGTAATGGAATATACAGTGATCAATTAAGTTTATGCAATATATGATCTTTGAAGTGTGTATGTGCGTTTATGTGTGTGTGTGTGTGTGTGTGTGTGTGTGTGTGATTTAGATTTTTAACACAGCTTTAAATTTTTTTAACAATGTCTGCATTGGGGAAGTTTATATTGATGTCTAGCACAGATGTAGGATGATGTCCCAACCAATCACATTATCTTGATACCAGACCGATCAGTCCTGACACTAACCTTTTAATGCTGAGAGTATAGCGAGGCAGTTGGAACTACCATTTTTGTTACTCTTTGGTATGACTCAGTCGGGGTTTGAACCCGCGACCTCCCGCATCCGAGGCAGACGCTGTAACTACTAGGCCACCGGCGCGGTCTCTGACCTATGAAGTAACTCTACATGAGTGCGTAACTTAATTTGTTATCATGCATGATCTCAAACACAAGAAACAGGAAATTTAGTAATCAGCTGAGCTAAATATCGCCTATATTTGTAATACAGTATCTTTAGAGTAATGGGACAGCTAAAAATTGAATATTGCTACTTGGCATAAAATGATCATTTGCGCTGCTGATATCTAAGGTAACTGGATATATGTGATCAGCTAAATTTGTTGCAAAGTATTATCTCTAAAGAAAACGAACCTGAATTAAATATTGCAGTATGTTTATAACATTCGAACTCGGGAAACTTTAGAAGTTACACCATTAGCTACTGAAGCTGATTTGAAGGCTTGTAATATGGCAGGCAGCTACAAATTCATCAGAAACATTTGATTTATTATAGTCGTGCAGCAAGTTCCATACGAGACAATTTTGTCTTAAAAGATGCAAGGCTATTTACATCGTTTCATTAAATGCTATTAAGCCAACAGAAACAAATCAATTATAAACGCATCGAGATAAAAATAAAATATTGTATGGAAAAATAAATATTGTATATGTTAAAAGATATGCACATGCTAACAAATATCTTTTAAAACATAGACGTCAAAAAATGCTGAATAGCAAGCGATCATACCAATAAAGTATTTATGACGATGGAATTCAAACATAATAAGAGAATGCCCTCGGGAATTTTTCATTGCAACAATTTATGTCATTTATTTGTCTATTTTACAGCATGCACCATGAGCAAATATAATGTCACATGATTTAACAATCTAAACAGTTGATATGCTCTCCCCATCTTTATTCCATACACAGCGAGCGAAATGATTGGAGTATGTTGGACCGTTCTCTTCCTGGTTGTTTTGTCGACCGAGATTTTGTCAGGTAATTGCAACGACAACATACTCTCTCTCTCTCTCTCTCTCTCTCTCTCTCTCTCTCTCTCTCTCTCTCTCTCTCTCTCTCTCTCTCTCTCTCTCTCTCTCTCTCTCTCTCTCTCTCTCTCAGGTTTTTTTTTTACGCCAGTATTTCTTCCCACCAGTTTAGATGATTATCGACTTTTGTTGTTCAAACTCCAAATAGGTTTCTAAAGGATACTCGTTTACGTTTGTTTTGGTAGAGAAACATATTCGGTAATTTAAGGAAAATGTTCTGCAATACGTTCTGTTTATATGTATTAGTGAGAGATATTGCGTATCTCGCAGTCTATTTATAGTGCTATAGAATTCTTCTTTACTTGCATAACATGGCCTTATAACAAAGATAAAATAAACAAGAATTACTTCATTTAAGCATCAACGCTGGTTTTTATTATTTTATGATAATATGAGAATGGTGGCCTCTTTACTTGTCACGTTTTTTAAAACCATAAAATAAAAGTTATATATTCTTAACAATATAAAGTTAATTATAAGAAATAATCACAATACTATTAATTCGTTGAAGTTATAAATATTAAATATTCGATATGATATGAAATTAACAGATTTTGAATTATCATAGATTTTCTTTGGTTTAAACTATTATCAATATATAATAAATATTAATTTAAGTAAACTTTTTTTTATAAGGGTTCTGACTGTTAAATATAAAGAATTAATACACATCACAAAATAGCCTCCCACCCCCACCCTACCACAAGATGAAATACAAAATCGCCTAAACTGTAAACGACAGAAGGCAAACTATCACTGGGGAGACTCGGCACAATTCTGATGATATAAAGGAACATTTTACAGAGGAGTTTGGGGCGTAAGTTGAGTTTTGTACCCTTTGTTGTTGTCGTTTTCTCACAGCATCATACTCACTTCTTTGATGCAAAAGAGGCAAAAGGAAGTATTACACACCAATTGACGAGACATTTTGTGTATTAAGGATCATAATTGCTGACTTTACATAACCATGCTACTACTACTACTACTACTACTACTACTACTACTACTACTACTACTACTACTATTACTACTACTACTACTACTACCACCACCACCACCACTACTACAACTAATAATAATAATAAAAATGGTAAATTCATAAAATATAATATTATATTAATAATGTATGAAATATCACATTTATGAGATAGTCAATATTATCGTATAATGATCATCTACACTCAGTGACACATAGCAAAATAACATAATGTTTGTAAAATGATAAGAATACTCATCCATAAATCCAGTTTGGGTTAACAAATACCTGCTTCATCTCTGATAAGGCATGACAGAGCATCGAATAAACGAAACAATCCTTAAACATCGATTATAGTTTGCATGGCGAGATTAAAACAATTCAGTTATACCGGTAAACTTGAAGTGATCCGTTTCCTCATAATACATTAGTCTACAGCCATGATGCTTCCGAAATTAATGTAGTCAAACTTAACTAATTCTTGGTCATTTAGAACGAATATGGTGCTTAAAAATGTTGATTGGCTCAAATTTTAAAGATATGATACTGGGTCAGTATATACGACCCTTGACTTAGGAATGGCAAAGGATCAGGGAATTATAAAGGGAAGGGATCTCGATTTAAACCAGAAATGACTAAAATACATCTTTGACTGGATCTATGAATAAATCTATGACAGGCTTTGACCATACTTGCTTTTAAGGCAAAATAATGAATGATTCAGTCTGTGTCATGCATAATATGAATTGTATCACGTTATTTCTAAAAGTCATGGATGATGGGATCATATATAAGCTTAACAATTTGCCATATATCAGCTCTATAAATCATACAGTAATATGCTCTCTTATTTGTCAGTATTTGAATAGGCAAATGGACACCTTTCTGTTTAGCCCCCACATATATGTTGCAACACTTGTGCAATAAATCTTTGACAGTGATAAAACACGAAAAGGAAATCTGCCTCTTTTAGTGCCAATGTTTTGGAAAGAGCCAACATATCATATCAGAAATTGTTACTTCTGCTTGGTACCTCCGGTTGGGAAAGGTGTGTCGAAGAAGAAAAAGTGGAGTGTGCATTATGCAAACATTCCATCAGCTACACGCCCAGTACCCTGGGAAGAAGGACAGCCTGTTCCTGATGTACCAGAATCATTCTTACTCGAGTCAGACGAGGAAAAGGAAGAGGATAAAACTTCTAGTACTGAACGATCAATGTCAACTGACCCTTAATTTCTCCAATCCTCTTCCTCCTCCTCCCTCCTCTGAACCACACCTCATAACACAAGGTGAACTGAATGAATTTGTCAAGGATTCGTATCTTTCCAAGAGTAAGACAGAGCTGTTGGGCTCCTGACTACATCAGTGAAATCTACTGGAAGGTGATGTAAAAGTTCCTATGTTCCGTGACCGTCAAAAGGATCTTGTCCTATTTTTCTTCATTGAAGGCAATCTTGTAGTCTGCAACAACATCAATGGTGTGATGGCAGCCCTCAACATCGTTCATGATCCAGAGGAGTGGAGACTGTTCATTGATTCATCGAAGACGGGTTTTAAATCTGTTTTTCTGCATAATGTCATAAACTATGATCACCATTAGTGGCAGCTTTGTGACGATTTGAAAGTTCTTGCTCTCTAGTTTGGTCTGCAATCTGGATACACAACTAATGCTGTTTTTTTTACGAATGGAATAATAGTGTGAGAGATTCCCACTACATCAAGAGAGATTGTCCATTCCAACAGTCATTGTAGCCGGGGACGAAAAGTGTTCTGCATACTCCTCTTGTTGAATCAAAGAAGATTTTGTAACCACCCTTGCATATCAAGCTGGGACTGATGAAGAGCTTTGTCAAGGCCCTGGCCAAAACACAAGCGGCTTTCAGAAAGATTTCCAAGATTAAGCGAAGCTAAGATAAAGGAATGTGTCTTTGTTGGTCCTCATATTCGAGAACTTCTTCGAGATGATGCATTTGACCGTGCACTGCGTGGCAAGGAAAAGACGGGATAGAAAGTCTTTCAGTTTGTGGCAACACATTTTCTCATAAAGAAGCAAGGCAGACAATTACAGGGAGTTGGTGGAAAATCTCTTCAAGGCATACAAAAGCCTCGGGTGCAACATGTGACTAGAGAGACAATTTTTGCACTCTCAGTGAGAGACGAGCACGACGAGCGATTTCATCAATATATTGCAAGAATGGAGAAATGCTAGCAGGACACATGGAGCCCATAAATTATTGCAGACTATTGCTGGACAGTGACAAGAGATGCTCCATTTCATGAATACAAGAGAAAGCCAAGAAGCGCGGAGTAGACATTGAATAAGGACTAAATTATGTACTCATATATATATATATATATATATATATATATATATATATATATATGTATATATATATATATATGTATATATATATATATATATATATATATATATATATATATATATATATATATATATATATATATATATATATATATATATATATATATAAGGTTTTTTGCCTCTTGTTTCATAATAAATTTTATGTATATAACCCTTTTGCTGTTTTCCACCAACTCCCTGTCCTGTTTAGGACAGGTGAAATATTATCATGTAAAGAAACCATAAACACATGAAAAGACAGGTTTACAATTTATGACTAAAACTCTACTGTCTACAAAATATACATAGACGTAAAATCTAGAAACTTGAACATCTTGGAAACGGCAACCAATCAAATGTTTTATAATTGTCATATTTGAATTCGGCACATCAAAATTCATAATAAATAGCACATTTTATCTCTGAAGTAGACAACTTTTAAAATATTGTAGACCTGTGCTATCAGGGCTTGCTCAGGTGTCTGTTGTATTTTGTAACTAGGAGTGAAGATCGAAATATTCACTTCCCAACATTATACTAAGAAGCCATTCAACGCAGTTGATAGGTGTATTGATACATGGTTTGATCGCCGAATAATAAACGTTTTGAACTCAACAAGCAATTTACCCATCTTCTGAGCCAATGTACTGTCACAACAGATAGTTCATAAGTGCAAAAACAAATTGTTAATTTATGAAAATGTAAAAATATTGC